TAACACCAACACCTGTTTACTTCCCTTCACTCCCCCTTCCTTCCAGACCCATCTAATTGTAACTGTCAGTAATGCCTTCTCCTTACTGTGGAGTTTGGTCATAGTTTTTTTTTTTTTTTCTTCTCAGAAGGTTTTGTTTCTTTCACTTGGAAGAACCCATACTAACTAAAAACAGTCTGCCAAGAGCCTTCCCTCTCCCCTTCCCACCTAATCAAGAATTGTGTGAAATTTCTAAGCATTTCTATCCTTCCTCTTTCACCCTGTCTGGATTCCTGGGGACTGACATCACAGACATGGAGGAGTCTCTGACCTTTGAAAATTCTTGACAGTCTTGAATGTTGTGTTTTCCAATGCTTTTGGAGGAGTAGGAGAGGATTCAGGGGGAGTAGGAGAGGATTCCGGGGGAGTAAGAGAGGAATCAGACACGGCAGTACATAGTGGAGCTGGGGAGTGGTGCATCCTGAGCCTGTGGCTGCGCCCTGGAATGTTGCAAGTCGGAGAATACGGGCCGTGGTTTCTCTAGCGTTTAACACAGCTCTGCTCTCTACAATGGTATTTTACTTTGGTCATTTTTTGTTACTAATTGGGCAATCAGCATGGAGACTGATTTTCATACTAGTTTGAACTTAAATGTTTAGGACGTGAAATCTGTTGCGATAACGTCACGTAAATCTTAAGCAAATGGCTTTGAGATGAGCAACTGTTAGACTTGCCTATTTTCAACAGTGAATATTAGTATAATTTTGTGTGTGGGTGCATGTGTGTGCGTGCAAAGTACGTGTATGTAGTAGGTGCTGTATAAATGCAGTTTATTCATCTGAACAGAAGTTGCACACTTACTTGGCATTCGGATGCTGGAGATACAGGATGAACAAGATCCCTGCCCTCAGATGGCTCACGGGCTAGTGGGGGACATAAACAAGAAAATAAACACAAATACTGTGCAGTGTGGTTAAATAACCTGATTGGAGGTTGAGGACAAGGTGGCGCTCCAAGGAAGAAATGGGCACTTTAACTTGGAAAGCCAGAGAAGGTTTTGCAAATGCGGTGGTGACTCAAGTTAGTCTTAAAGAAGCGTGAGGCTTCAGCAGCGAGACTAGGAGTCATTCCAGGCAGAGGGAACCGTGTGCGCCAAGGAACTGCGGTGTGAAGCGCGCGGTGGCCGTGGGAAACTGCCAGGCCAAGAAGGGAAGTGACGGGGTTAGACAGGCTGGAGATGGTAGAGGCGCTCGCGAAGGGCCGCCTCAGTCGGGTACAGGAATTTGGATCTTAAGCTTTAATCATTGAGGGTCCAGGGGAACATTTAGAGGAGCGGACGGCACACGGTCATACTTGCGTGTTAGAACTAACAGCTTCCACAGCCAACCACTGGGAACAGTGGCTGGGGAAGTAGTAGGAAGAAGTTGGGAAACTGTTTACTGGGGTCCAGGTTGTGAAAACCTGAGAGAGAATAAAAGGGATATAGTTTGAAAAGTGTTGGTGGATTTAGGAAATTTTTAAGGCAAAAGTAGTGAGCTGTAGTGAAGGACTCTGTGCGTGAGGATGAGGCAAGAGCAGTCCAGGGTGGTTCTGAGGTGGGAGCCTGGGGTGGCTGGAGGGGATGGTATCGTTTGCTGGAGTGGTTGGTGCTGAAGGAGAAGTAATTTGAGAGGTGGTGGGACAGCTGGGACAGTTCGCGTTTATGAGCTGAATTTGTGAGTGTGGGATTACAGGAGGGGTGTTTGGGGCTCCTCATCATTTGGGTGCTCAGGCATGCCTGGGAGTTTCTCATGGGGATGATGGCAGAGTGAGACAGTGGGAGGCCTGAGGTGAGAAGTGCGGGTGCACTAGCTAACCCTGGTGCAGGCCTGACCAGGAGTCAGTGGAAGTGACCAAGTGCAAGACACAGCCTGAGAGGCCGGAGGGGTGGTCTGCAAGTGTTGCTCACTGAGAAGCGATGGCTTTAGGTGAACAGTAGAGGATGGTGACCATCCACGTATACGGCGGTGCCTTTCTTTTTCTGTGTCAGCCCATTTAGTAGATCAAGGGTTGAATATAAGGTGAGAAAATAGCGTCGGTGAATGTAGTCTTTGTAAGGAGTTTTGCAGAGAAGAGAATAGCCAGCATTAGGGACAGAGGAGGAAACCCGAAGAAATTTTTCTTTTGCAGTTTTGTCTCAGAAGGAGGATGGAATGTCTTTCTTCTGCCAGGAGTAAGGGAGGTAATAAAAAACCAGTAGGAGGTTCAAGGAGAAGGGTGTATAAGCTTCAGGTGTGCCATTAAAAATCAACATGTGTTTATACCACATTAAGTTCACCAAAGTCCATTTCTGTTCTTCATACAATTGCCCTCTTTTGCCTGATTTACCCACCCCGGGTGATTTTTAATAATTCAGATTGGATCATGTCATACTCCTTCTACTCTACCACTTTTTAGGATAGAACCCCAAACCCCTCAGGTGTAGTCCCCATAAAATTCCCACCACCAAGTCACCTGTGAACCGCCACCATAGTCTCTGCTCTTCCGCCGGTGTTAATCCCTCTCTCTCCCCTCCCCGCTTAAGGTCTCCAATTTATAGTTGCTTGCTAGTTTTGTCTCTCCCTGCCCCAGCCCTTATTTGGTTCCTCTGTATTCCTCCTATAAATGATATTTTTCTTTTTCCTTCTGGCTTATTTCACTGAGCATCATCCCTTCCAGTTCCATCCATGTTGCTGCAAATGGCATGAGTTTATCTTTTTGGATCACCGGATAGTATTCCACTGTGTATATAGACTCCCCTCTTCTGGCTCCAGTCCCCTGTTTTGGGGCATTTAGGTTGTTCCCATATCTTGGCTGTTGTAAATAGTGCCTCAGTAAACACAGGAGTGCGGGTTTCCTTTCAAATTAATGCTTTTGTGTTCTTTGGGTAGATTCCTAGAGTGGAATTACTGGGTGATATGGTAGATCCATTTTTAGTAATTTAAAGGTCCTCAGCGGTGTAAGAGGTTTCCTTTTTCTTTATATCCTTGCCAGCATTTGTTGTTGCTAGTTGTTTTTTTTCCCAATATGTGCCAGAATCCCAAATCTTTAACAGGTCCCTCTCTTTGTCCTCATTTTGCACCATTCTCACCTCTGTGCTTGACTATTCTTTTCTGTTTCAGTGTGTTTCTCCAGTTCCTATTCATCTTTGGTTCTTAGCTGGAACCTCAATTCCTGGCAAGATTGCCTGTTTCCTGACTCCCTATGCGAGATAACACCCCTTCCCCCAACATGTCTTTATTATAATCGTTGAAGTGTTGTGGGGTTTTCCCTCCATCCTGGAAACTGAGCATCGTGTCAATTGAGACTGTCTAGTTCAGTGCGTTCCGAGTTTTGACCATAGTGACACAGAGTAGGGTCAGCTGGTGAAGCTCCGAGCGGAAGTGTTGGATGGGCTGTGCAGGTGGATGCTGAGATTGCTGGGGAAAGCTGTAGGATTTGAAATGAATTAAATATGAGGCAGGTGTCGGAGTCTTTAATAAATACGAGACACAGGTGCCGCCCTTTCCTATGGCAAACGAATGGGCAGGTGAGAATCAGTGCAGTCCTGGGGGGAGGGGTCAGTGCCCTAGTCCCTTGGGAAGCAGCGTGGGCCCGTGGAGAGAGCCGGGGTTCAAACTTTGGGTGCAGCCAACCTGACTTTCCACACCTTGTTTCTCCATTTGAGACCTGCTGCAGTCTTGTCAAGAACATGACAGGGTTTTTGAAAGTGCTTAATTTACATTAACTTATTAGTATTTATTCCTGATCACTGTTATCACTTCAAGAGGGCATGCATGTGGAAGCAGGAATGAGTGGCAGAGATAGGAGCGGAAGTGAATTTTGGGCAAGGTACAAGACTTAAGTTATTCCATATGTTGAATCATACTAAAGAGTTGGCATAAAGGTTTATCGGCAAATATAGGTAACAGCAAGTACCTACCTAAAATAAAGGCCCCTGCTTTGCTAATGATAATGGTGCAGTATTGATTGACAACGTTTAATGTAAAAAAATGCTTTGTTGGATGATTTTCACGAAGAGTCCATCAGTACGGGATATAGATTTTAATGTTCTGGAGAACAGAACAAGGACGATTATGTGAAAGTCGTAGGGGGAGAGGGACTGATGATTTACACGAGCACTTTCTAACAATCAGAGCTGTCCAACGGGGAAGTGAACATTATGGCAAAAGGCTGAGTTCTCCACCGTGTGAGCCTGTGGAGACTGACGACCTTTCCACCAGAGATAGAGCAGGGATTCTTGCGTGGCCGCGACAGTGGACTAAGTCATCCCTCCATTGCCTTCTGATTGGAAGATCAGAGGATTTTGTGTCCAGTTGAGATTTGTCTAAATACCGTTCAGTCAGCAGGGATTTGAGTGCTTCTCTGTTTCATTAGAAAACCAGTGTTTTGTTTTCCTTCCCTTCCTGTGTGCTGAGACAGAGCCAAGGACTCAGGTCTCAGTCGTTGCCTTGGGTATTCCCATTTGGAATTTGAGGAGCTCAAGCCAGGTGTCCGAGGTGATGTAACAAGAGCTGTTGTCCTCACGGGTCCAGAGCCCCGGGCACGCACCTGGAGGCACCAAATACAGAAATGCGCTGCCAGGAAGTTTGTGCTGAGATTTTCAGTCAAGTTAGTGTAGATCAAGTTAGATCTATAAATCCACCCTCCCCCCCATGCTTCCATGCCTGAGGCTTAATCAACACTTCCCCAGCACCTTTTCGCTGATTGCTGCTTGTGTGCTAATGTATATTCCCCATATTCTTTCATAAAGTTATAAAAACGGCATTACTGAATTCCTTTGCTTTTTTTTAAATAGAAGATTGAAGTTAATTTTGCAGCTTGTTCTCTTCATTGTGGGTTATGCGCGTGCAATTTATTTGGGTTTCTTTCATCTCTGTGACCAGACGGCGTTGAGCCAGGAACCCTGGCCTGAATTACTAGAGAAACTATTGTGAGGGGAACCACTCATTCACCTATGAATTCAGAAGGAATATAGTAAGTGTTGAATGTAAGGAACTAATTTATTTTATAAAGTGACATTTTGAATCTGAGCTATATTATGCCAAACATTTATGTATTGGTGGGCTTTTCTGACATGTGTGATGTTGAAAAGAAAGCAGATTAGGTGCTGATAATATGTAGACCAAGAAATCATAGCTTAAGAAACTGAGGTGAGCTAAGAGGCCAGGATTTCGTTTCCTCAGTGGTTAGTTTTTAAACTTGGAAAAGATCTGAGGCGTCATGGAATCCAAGTTTAGGGTACACGGTCCAGCAGAAGCCCTGTGAGTAATTTGATCAGAGTCGCCGCCTCTTATCTGGGGTGTAGGTAAAAATTGTGGGTCTGAGGGTGGTGAAAGTAGTGACAGTCCCATGATTGTCTGTTTGGAAAGGAGTTTCTCAAACTTTGAGAGATACAGTGCGACCAACCAAGGCAGACCCTTCGAAATACAGGGTGATGCAAAGTGCCCTAGAATATCTCATCTGCCAAGTTAAAGCGCAGATTGATTGGTGTGTGACTAATGTGGAGGTCCTCTTAGTCATTTATCCATCAGGCACTTAAAAATTTATTTTTATTGGGGTAACATCAGTTCATAATGCCGCGCAGGCTTCAGATGGACAGAAGCTGCACACACCACGCCACGCCGCTGCCAGCATTCCATTGGCCCCCTGCACCAGCTCCCTACCCCCACCCCCGACATTGTCCGCTCAAAGTCCTAAGGGTTTGTTTTTGTTTTGTTTTCAGTGCAGGCATTTTCTGACTGACTGCCACACTGTGGGCGCTTTGCTGGATGTTGGGGCTACAGATAGGAACAAAACCTATCCCTGCACTCGTGTGTCTGGTACTACTGAACAGGACCGGAGAGAATGCTTTCTGTTTTGCGATTGCTCCCAAAAGAAAAAAATTCACTGTTACCATGTTAGTTAGTGACCTGCTGGTTTTATGACTCACACATCATTGCTGTTTATTTGCCTTCATCTTTCTAAGGAACACAGAAAACCAGGATCTGGTCATACCACTAAACTAGCTGTGTTCTCGGGCAGGGACTGTGTGAAGGAAAGCATCTGAGAGTCAGCCTTAGACGTAGGTCTGTCAGAAGAGGTTTCTGAGACAGCGCTGTTCCTCCAGGGCTCCCACCTTTGACCTGTCCAAAGGCAGGGTCGGTGGGTGCGGTAGGGCAGGTTGGCCCTGGTAACTGTTAAACAACTCCTATTCTGCAGAGAACCGTAGTTCTGTCTGAGGCTGCACAATTTGATTAGTGATTGTTCTTCCCTCCCTTATTGCTTCCTCAGCTTCAGGGGAATGTGTGTGTGTCAGACTGGCACCGGGACGCAGTTTCTGCCAAAACCAAGACTGAAAGACAGGTCTGTTTCGGGTGTGCTTATTTGGCAGTTAGTGTCCTGAGTGGAGAAGAGCATGTTTCCTGGGTTCATGAAGTGGGGGAGCAAAGGTTGATTTTTGTCAGGGCTTTTGGAATGTCCGCTCTGCTTTATGTACTAGCTGCTTTTTTATTTTGAATAGTTTAAATCTGTCCGTTTGCTTCTCCCATTTCCTCCGCTAGCCCTGGCGTCCGCTGCAGTGGTCCAGGTCAGAGTCACTCAGCAGGTACTGCCTGAGCGCCTGTGCCAGCACTGTGCCACCTGCTAAGTGGTGCGTGCTGGTGGTGCCTTAGAGGAGGCGGCGAGATAGCAACTAATTAAACTAATTTCAGGGTATATTGAGTGCCAGGAACGAGGTGTGTGTTAGAGGAGTCCATGGAGGTGCAGTTTGCTGCTTCCTGCATTTGGGATAGAGCAAATGGATGGTAGACCTGTGGTGTTCCAGAAGGTAGCGGGGAGCGTCACTTGGACTGGTGTTAGGGTTTTGTGGTTAATGTAGTAGGTAAAAAAAGTTATGTTAATGAGGAATTAGGAAACTAAAGGTTATCTTTCATGATATGTTCAGCTGAAATGATCTAGCGTTTTGTTTCCCCAGTGGTTAGAAAGCTGCTGAAATTGGGCTATGATCTTCCAGCTCCAGTGTAATTTGAGCCTTACGTGTTTATTTCCTCCTCAGGTGGAGGCCTGAATTTTGATCTATGTCCTCCCTACATCAACTGCCTGAAAGTGCTTAATGGTCACATGACCCTGGACATGGATGCTGTCCTGTCGGATTTTGTCCGTTCCACAGGGGCAGAGCCAGGGCTGGCCCGCGATCTCCTGGAAGGTAAGGACTCCTGGCGGAGAATGAGAAGAAAGTAAAATGTGATATTTATTGTTCGGGTGATTTGGAACATCTGAGGCGATCAACAAGACACTTTGTGTGTGGTAGACCTTACATTTGAGTTCCTTCTAGATCTATTTTGTGTATGACCCACCATAATTTTAAAATGCAAAAATCCCCTTTTCACTTTGAATTTTTGGTGTAAAATTTTTCTGCTGCCAATTTATGCTCAGCAGTTGCAAATGAGAGCTTAATTCTAGATCTCTGAGTATGAGAGCACAACTCTAGATTTCTTTGGCTTCCTTATTATATGTAAGTAACTCAGACTTTTGTATTCAGGATCATCCATGGTTTTCTTTCTTTTTTCCCCCTAATTTGTATGGGTAGTTCTATGCTGAATGGGTTTATTAAATGTTTTCATTGTGCTACTTTTGTTTACTTCTGTCAAGATATATACATAAATGAATGTTCTAGATTTTAAGGTCCTGAAGGGTTGGAATCATGCCTATAGGATCTTTGTTTGAAGTCATTATTAATAGTACATAAATGACACAAATACCTATGCCTGTGGGGAAAAGGACAGATTCTTAGCATACAGAGGTGACTTTTTAGATTGTCAGCCATAGCCAGGTATGGCATTTTGACATTTGTTTAGCTACCTGTGAAAAGTACATTAGGTTGAATATGGAAGAGCAAGGTTTAAATTGCAGTTTGTGGATTCATTGTAACTTGTGTTTTCATTTCATCTCCTCCTACTTTGTCCCATACTAGCTATGCGCCTTGTTTCCTAAGTCTATAGGGTGCTTTCCTACATTATTGTCTTGAAAGTCTCCTTATATTTCAAGATTCAACTCACATGCCTCCTTTTCCTCTTGTAACGTGTTGAACACCTCTTTGTGTTCAATGTGTGAGGTGCTTGAGATGTAGTATTTTTTTTTTTTTTAATAGAGGCATGTTTATTTATTTATTTATTTGTTTGTTTGTTCTGTTTACACATGCACTGGGTACAGTCAGAAGCACGGGAGGGTAAGAGAATTCACCAGAGCCAGAGCGGGGAGCAGAGCAGGCAGAAGGACCGAAGGACACTGCTGAGGGGAGCAACGGGCGGCAGGAGAGGTCTGCGCGCCATGTGGGACCCTCCTCCGGTGGCCGGGGAGCAGCTGGGGATCGAACCGGCGCCGCAGAGGCCGCGGGCAGCTTCGCAACCCAGCGCTCAACCGCTGCGCCACCGGGGAGGCCCGAGATGTAGTATTTTCACAACCACTCTGCAATGCAGGTTTATCATCCCAGTATTACAACTTTAAAAACTGAGGTTCAGAGAAAGATTTTTTTTAAAGATTTATTCATACAAGAATTGGGGTACAGGCCAGAGGTGTGGGGGTGAGAGAGTCACCAGAGACAGAGTGGGGAACAGAATAGGCAGACTGGCTGAAGTACACTGCTGAGCGGAGCAGCGGGTGAGTCAGGAGAGGTCTGCTGCGCCATATGGATATCTCCTTGGCAGGGGCTCGAACTCGTGCTGCAGTGGCTGTGGATAACTTCATAAATTGCATCTAAATCTCTTGCTCCACCAGGGAGGCCCCAGAGAAGTTAAGGATTTGAACCAAGGAATCTGATTACAGTTGGTTTTAATTATGTTGCAAATTAGCACGTGTACACTGTCTCCTGCACTTGCACTCATGCCATGAAAGAAAAGTTGAGAGTGTTATGGAAGTGCAGGAGAGAAACCTAATTTATACACGGAGTGCAGAAAAGCCTTTGAACTGAACCCCAAGGATGCATAGGACTAAGAAAACAGTGTTCCTGTAGAAGAAGTAGCTTATAGAAAGGCCCAGAGGTGAGTGTGAGTTTAGCATATCAGGGAAACCAGCAGCAAGAATGATGGAAGAGTGGTAGCACACTGGGTAGACAGGGAGGCAGCAGCGTTTGAGACTGTCGCAGGCCACGGTGAGCAGTTTAAATTTCACTCTGCATTCAGTGACGAGCTGGTGAAGGATTTTAAACAGGGTAGTGACGTTGGATTCAAGGTTTGAACTGGTTGGGGGGTATGAAATGGTTTGGAAAAAGTGAGCAGGGAAGTGGTAAAGTCAGTTAAGAATATTACTACAGTTCAGGTGAGACATGACGGCACTTGGCTGCAGAGGAGGCAGATGAGCAAGAAGTGGATGGACTTAAGCTTTAATTTAAAAGGGGAGCCGAAGGACCTGATTGTCCTCTCCTTGTCTTTGTTAACCTCGTCTCTTGCTTTTTCCTTTAAAAGTTAACTCTGGCTACATTGAAAAGAACAGATTGGAGAGGGGAGAGACTCATTAGATTGGCCTCCCAAAAGGCTAAAGACCAGGTAAAGATTATGAGGCCCTGAATTGGGGCAGCAGCAATAAAAATGGACAAGAAATAATAGATTTGAGAGATGGTTCAGGGGTCCAGGCAGTCCTGAAGATTAACTGGATGGTGAGGGGAGAGGACCAGTGGGATGAGGCAGTGAAATGAAGGGGCTGAAGATGGCTGTTGTTTCTGACCTGGGGGCACTGTAGTGCCATGATAGGCTTCGGGTGTATAAAAGGAGTGTGGGATACGGAAGCCAGCTCTGGAGGGAAAGATGACAAAGATGCGGTTTTGTGGACCTGATTTTAAGGAGTTTGTTATTCAGAGGACCTGATTTTAAGGAGTTTAGCAGCTGATTGGAAATACAGACCCGGTGCTCAAAACAGATGTCGTCATCCATTGATTGATGCACAGTGAACGTCTTCTACTCGTCAACAAGTATTTATTGAGGACCTGCTATGTACCAACTTCTAGAAGCTAAACAAAACAAACAAAAATCTCTTGTCCTTATGTTCTAGCAAAAAAGACAGTTAATAAGCAAGCATGAGAACAAAGTGAATTGTAAAGTGTTACACAGTGCTGAGTGCTGTAGAAAATGGTAGGGGATGACGAGGTGGTTTGTGATTTTTAACTGGGCAGTAAGGGTGGGCTTTTGAGAACGGGACACTTGAACAAATGCCCAAAGGAGGTGAGCGCTGTCTGTGTCGGGGCAGGAGCCTCCCGGGCAGGGGCAGTGGCAATGGAAAGGCTGTCAGGGAAGCCGCCTTAGCAGGCGCAGGGACAGCTGGGAGAGCCGTTTGGCTGAAGTCAGTGACCAGAGTGTGCAGGGGAGGTGGAGCAAAGGTGAATATGAGCGTACGGAAGTGAAGTCGTCAGGGGTGGAGGGTTAATAGGGCTGACTGGAGAATTACAAGGATGACAAGAAACGTCACACGACAGCAGTGCCTGCGGAGGAATGCTGGCTCTGCACCCAACTCCGTTCTAGGTGCTTCAGGTCATTTCATCTTCATGACAACCCTTTATGGTGTCCTCTCCGCTTTCACAGCCCGGAAGTGGAAACAGCATTGGCCTGAAAAGCAGGCCAGGTCACTGGGCTTTGGATGCTGGACCAGAGGGCCTAGTTTTGTGTCAGGCAGTGGTGAGCCGTTAAGAGACTCTGAGATGTCGTCTCACCAGACCCCAGCTCCACGTGAACAGGCGCGCGTCTCTCGGGACCTCTCCGGGTGGCTCGGCCCTCTGCCTGTTGGTGCGTGTCTTTTAGTAGCCTTTGTGATACATTGGTGATAGTGAGGTGAAAAAAAAAATTTTTTTTTTTGATCACAGGATGGAAATGACCAGAACTGTGCTTTGGAAAGATTAATGTTATGGAATTATTTAGAGCGCACTGGATGTGGGACAATAGGTGGTAAGAATTGAATTAAGGTGGTGGCAGAGGGAATCAAATGGAAAGAAATGTGGACAGTTAAGCAGTAGGTATTTATTGAATAATTTAACTGAAGAAAGCAACAGAAAAGCCATTGCGAAAAATACATCATTTCGGGTCTTGAGTAGAGTAGTGAATCTTACATTTAGAGGTTAACGATCCCCTTTGATGATGATCTGATGGCTGCTGTCAGCTTTTTCTTTAAGAAATAGCCACACCTATAACTTCAGATAAACTTCCGGTGGGTTAGGACACCCAGAACACACCTAGGCCAAGAGTCTCTTTAGCTCCCAGAGCTGGGAGCCCCAGGCTTGTGCCCCGCCGTGCCCTGGTGCGCATCTGCTGCTTTGGGACCGGTCATTCTCCTGTGTCTTTAGACCTCATTTCCTTCATCTGTAAAATGAGGTTTTAGGTCCCTGGCTCTCAGAGCACCCTCTCAGTTCAGGGAGGGAGAAAGTTTCTGTGTTCATGGACCTTAGGAAGTAAATAATAACTAAATAAAGGAATCATTTGCTATTTCAGATTGAAGTCGTTGTGAAGAAAGAGAAAGCGAGGGAAGGGAAAGGAGAGGGTAGATGTGTGCGTGAGTGTTGCTGGTTCTGCTGGGATGGCAGGAGTGATCGTCCCTTACCTTCCCTCTGCTCCGAGTGTCTCATTTGCTTTTATGCTTTGTCTCCTGGCAGGAAAGAATTGGGATGTGAGCGCTGCCCTTAGTGATTTTGAACAGTTACGTCAAGTCCATGCTGGGAATCTGCCCCCACCCTTTGGTGAAGGGAGTGGTGGCTCCAGGACCCCTGAAAAAGGGTTTTGTGATAGAGAATCTACCCGCCCTCTCCGGCCCCCTCTACAACGGCAGGATGACGTCATTCAAGGTACGGGGTAACTGAAGGTGTTTCTACAGACAGACTAGAACCGAGGGCCGGGGACTGCTGGATGCGCTCAGAGAGCTTCGTGACCTTTCGGAGAAGGTCCCATTTCTCCCACTTCTCTCCAGCCAGACTGATCAGAGGTGACCTCGGTCTGGCCAGGGACTGGAGTCGCTCACAGTTGCTCTCCATCGTGAGCGGGATCCTCCTTCAGATACTGTGCAAGGTTAATCTTTCTAAGGCACAGTTCTGATTGCTTCTATTCCATGGAAATGGGAAGAAAGGATAACATTCTGATTGCGATAAGATGCACATATAGACTTCAGAAGATCTCTTTGAAGGACTGTTTCTTTATATTTGTCAGTATCTATCAAAAATTTTAAATGCATATATATTCTGAGTCAGCCATTTCATTTCTGGGAATTCATCATGTGTGCCTATGGCTGTGTATATATTCTCCCAGTGTGTACGTGAATGTACACGTGGTAGACACACACACAGTGTGTACAGGAAGAGTTCATAGTGGTTAAAGCTTAAAAGCAACTTTTAACATTCATTTGCATAGGAGTGGATAAATAAATTGTGATCATTCATATTGTAGGCTCTTTTGCAGCCATTAGAGAGAATTAGAATTTTATGTGCTGTTTTGGAAAACTTTCTAAAGTCTTTTGAAAAAGGTCAGTTGCAATACAGTGTATGCTTCTGTTTATGTTTTTGAAAATGCTCCTATGATTAAAAAATTCTGGAAGAATACATGGTTGCCTCTGGGGAAGGGATCAGAAATTTGAATAACGGGGTGATTTCTTTAGTAACATTTTTATACTTTTGGTACTATTTTGATTTTTTGCAATGGATACATGGTACTTTTTTAATACCTAAAAAAATTAGTTAAAAAAATCACTATAAATTAGTGTCAGACAGCTTTTGATTGATTTTGTGCATCACCTCTGGCAAATACTGGATTGAGTGCTGCTACCCAACATGACTTTTAACTCTTCTGATGATCTTTTTTTAGCCTTTTTATCCAGTGGGGAAATGCTGAATTGTTTATTAACTGTTGCTTGGACTGTTTGGATATAGAAAATAATAAATTTGCTTCCTATTTCACACCATAAACAAATTTTTTAAAGTAAACACATGATTTTGGAGAAAATCGACGTAATATGCTGAGTCTGCCATCCATGAACAAGCAATGTCTTGCAAGTTATTTAGTAACTCTTCTTTGATAGCTTTCACCAGCAATTTTTAATTATAATATTACACATTTTTTTTTTAACATGGAAAAATGTTCATCACCACTTTCGTTTTTAATTTGTCAGTTAATTACATAGCTGTATGACTTTACATTTTCCCGCCTCCATATGTGCACATTCTTCATTCACCCTCCACCAGAGTGCCCGTGTTAATGGCCCACCCCTCTCCTTCCCTGCCCTTCGCCTACTCCCTCTGGTAACTAGTATATTTTTCAGAGTCCAAGAATTATTTTTGCTGTGTTTTTCCAGTATATGTTCTTTCTTTATATTCCACAAATAAGTGAAACCACCTGGTATCCGTGTCGCAGTCACCTCAAGATCCATTCATTTTTGTCCCAAAGGCACTGTTTCATCCTTTTAATAGCTGAGCAGTGTTCCATTAATGTGCACAATTTCTTTATCCCTTGGTCGTTGAGCACTTAGGTTGGTTCTGTGACTTGGCGACTGTGGATAGTGCTGCTGGGAGCGCAGGAGGGAATCAGGCTTTTCATGTTAGGGTTTTCATATTCTTTGGGCAAAAACTTGGTAGTGGTATTATTGGACCACATGGTGTTTCCATTTTTAGATTTTTAAGGTATCTCTAATCCATTTTCCATAAAGGGTGCACCAAAATAAACCCCCACCACAGTGTTCCCCACATCTTCACCAACATGTGTTGTTTCCAGCCTCTTTGACCTGGACCATCCTCACAGAGATGAGGCAGTAATGTCTCATTGTGGTTTTGATTCGCGTTTCCCTTATAATAAGTGATGCTGAACATTTTTTTATGTGCCTGTAGGCCATCAGACGTGTTTGGAAAAGTTAGATCTTCTGTCTGGTTTTTGATTGGGTTGTCATATGAGCACTTTATATATTTTGTAAATTTTGATAATCTTTATTTTAAGTCAGGCATGTGAATTGTGAGGCTACACTGAGCAAATTATGATCACAATAGAGTTACCTGCTGGGGTTACAGGTGCTGTATATTCAAGACAAATAATTTTGTCTGTGTAGTCTTCCTTTGTAGCATGGTAATTATAATTAACTGTATCTCTACATTCTGACAAACGTATCAAGAAAGTTTGTAGTAGTGGTGTAAAGAAATGTGAGTGATGGTAGAAAACAAAGTTCTTAATGTGTAAGATTAGTCATTTACTTTATTTTTGAAAATGGAAATCCTCCTCTACATTCTCTTAAGACCCTAAAAATCACCAGAGATTGTTTGACTAAATTTAGCCAAATGAAGCCCCAGTTCCTGTATTTCCTCTTCCTCCCTCCCCTGCCCCCTCAGTGACAACCGAATTGCCAAGTGAACGGCCCCTTTATATTGTGGAATGGAAGTGGAAGAAGACAGTTATAGGGAGAGAAAGTGGCAAATTCCAAGAAGGATAATAAAAGGAAGACATACTTTGTATTAACGTGCCTATAAAAAACATTGTTCTCTATTTCTCCTTTTATATCTGATTTGAGAAAGAGGGTCCTGAAATTCAGGAGCCAGTTAGACTCAGTTTCTCATTAACGGGGAACCTGTTGAGAGGTTACTGTCACCGTATAAATGGAAAGTTCTGAGAGGGCTGTGCATGTTCTGAGGTGACTCCATTTCTCATTGCAGAAAAACGACTGTCTAGGGGCATCTCCCACGCCAGTTCCAGCATTGTCTCCCTGGCCCGGTCCCATGTCTCCTCCAATGGTGGGGGTGGGGGGAGCAGTGAGCACCCCCTGGAAATGCCCATCTGTGCCTTCCAGCTTCCAGATCTCACTGTGTACAATGAAGACTTCCGCAGCTTCATAGAGAGAGACCTCATTGAACAATCCATGCTGGTTGCCTTGGAACAGGCAGGTCAGTGATACTTCCCTCTGAGCTTCACCTTGAGGCTGCCACCCAGGGTCTGGGCTTGACCGCTGTATCGATAATTTCTTTTAAAATTAGCCAATTACCTGGCTAGTGAGGTTGCAGACCAGTTTGTCGCTGTAGGTTTTTTCAGGAATTGAAGAAAACTTCTAAGCATCATTCACAAAATATTTTCCTCATGTAAACTAGTGGATTGGAAATTATGGGATGACTACACCAAATTGACACTCATTTTCTTGGTATTTTATCCTTAACTGTTATTGTTCATGTCTTTAAACTTAAAGCTTGTACATGTTGGTATGGTGATGGCCATATATTCAGATGATACTTGATTGACATTGAATAGATGCTTTGGGTTCTTTCATTTGTTTACTGAAAATGGTTTTTTGCTGAGCTTTGTTGCTACATTATTTACTAGTCTCCTGACCAGGATGAGAGACTCAGAGTCAGATAAAGTAGCCAACATAGATTTAAACCTGTGACCTTAACCTCATCAACTAAACCCAGGTTGCCCAACCTTAGCACTGATGACATTTGGGACTGGATAATTCTTACTGTGTGAACCCTGTGCTATCTGTTGTCTTCAGCAGCCTCCTCGATCTTTTCCTATGCTGATGGCATCTTTCCACCAATTTGGACAACCAAACATATCTCCAGACATTGTCAGATAGCTACTTGGGGACAACATCGCCCCTACTTAAGGACTATTGATCTAACTAGTTGTGCTCACTCAATTCTGATCAACTAGAAATAAGAGAAGAAAATATAAAGAGTAGAAATTTTATTTATTTTTTTAAGATTTATGTATGCATACAAGAACTGGGGCAAAGGCCAGAGATGCGGGGGATGAGAGGACTCACCAGAGACAGAGCGGGGAACAGAACAGGCAGACTGCCTGAAATACACTGCTGAGGGGAGCGTGGGGCAGACAGGTGAAGTTGCTTTGCCATGTGGGTTGCTCCCTGGCAGGCTGGGGATTGAACTCGTGCTGCAGAGGCCTCGGATTGCTTCATAGTGCGGTGCTTAACCCCTTGTGCTACCAGGGAGGCCCTGGAGTCTATTTTAGAAATAGGAAAGGGGGAAGGTCTTTATGGATAATCTACTCTTCTCCTTTTCCTCCTGTTTCTCTAGGACGTTTGAACTGGTGGGTGAGTGTGGACCCCACATGTCAGAGGCTGCTTCCTTTGGCAACCACTGGGGATGGAAATTGCCTCTTGCATGCAGCCTCTCTTGGTAAGTCTTGAAAGTGGCCCTTGGTTTCAGGTGGAAAGGAAGCAGTAGAATAAATCTTAAGCACAAGATTTATTCAAAACAACCTTGATCTTAGGCAGAAGTGATGATGCAGATAACGTGTGTGTGTACGTGTGTGTGTCTCTGTCTGTGTCTGTCTGTGTCTGTCTGTCTACTAGTGTGGGAAAAGATGGAAGCGAGCCCTGCTCTGGTTTTTCAGTTTTGTTCAGAGATTTTATGGAGAACACAGGTTTTAGCGTAGCCCTCACTCTGAGAACTGATCCCCTATAAATTAAGAGCAGTAGTAAGCCAGCGGTATAGAATTCTCTCTGTGTATAATTCTGTTATTAATATTTATTCTTTAGGTGTATAAAAAAGATGTTTTCATCAGTCCTTCGTGAGATTTGTTTTAAGTTACAAAGCCTTTCATAATTGTGTCCATTTTCTAGCCATCCCTCCAGCTTTGATCCTTACTGCTGTGTCCCAGACCTGTCCTTTCTGCTGCTACTCTGTATTTTTTAGTTTGTTAGATTTTCATCAGGAGTAAGGGCTTCTTGTCAGGAGCTTGTAGGATGTGGTATTTCCCCACTCTCAAGTTCTCAGAAGTTTTTTTTTTTAATTTTATTTATTTTATTACTTAAAATTTTTTCTTATATTTATTGTAGTCCCCATAGTTCTCTGCCATCGTATCCCCTGTGGACTGTCACCATATTCCCTTGTGTTCATCCCTCCCATTTTGCCCCCTGCTGCACTCCTCCTTTGCTGGACGCCACAGTTCTGTGGTCAGCTGGCTAGTTTTTGACTTTTTCTTCGCCTTTCGTTTGGTTCCCTTATATTCCACATAGAAGTGAGACCATCGGGATTTACCTTTTTCCTTGTAATTTCAGCTAGCAGCATCCCATCTAGCTCCATCCATGTTGCCACAAGTGGCCTGAGTTTGTCTTTTTGATTGCTGAGCAATATTCTATTGTATAAATATATTACACTTTTTTGATCCATTCATCTATTTTGGGTCATTTGGGTTGTTTCCGTATCTTGGTGATTGTAAATAGTGCTGCTGCAGCAAACACAGGACTGCAGGTTTCCTTTCAAATTAGTGTTTTTTGTGTCCTTTGGGTGATTCCTAAGAGTGGAATCGCTGGGTCATATAGTAGCTCCATTTTTAGTGTTCTGAGGACCCTCCACAGTTTACACCCCCACCAGCAGTGTAAGAGGCTCCTTGATCTCCACATCCTCGCCAGCACTTGTGTCCGTTTTTGTTTTTTTTTTTAATGTGGGCCATTCTCACTGGAAGTTCTCAAAGTTTCTGAACCTCCAGAGAAGAAACACCATTTCTTTCTTGATCAAGTGCCTTTCCCCTCCGTCACAGTACGTGTTTCTTTGAACCTGGCATTCAGCTTGATTTCCTTCATCACGAACAGGGTTGAGTCAGGGTACAGTGTCTTACCGCCAAGTTTTCTTGCTGCAGGGATGTGGGGTTTCCATGACCGGGACTTGGTGTTGCGGAAAGCTTTGTATGCACTGATGGAGAAGGGGGCCGAGAAGGAAGCACTGAAGCGGCGCTGGAGGTGGCAGCAAACACAGCAGAATAAAGAGGTGAGGGAGCTTGGGTGGGAACCCCGGTTTCCCAGAGTTACCCCAAGGAGATGCCTCACGTGCCTGGGGCAGTGGTATTTCTCTTATGATCTTGGAAATTGTGGAAGATGCCAGGTACTGGGGTAGATGCTTTTTGGTGTAGGTGAGAGACTGGTGTGGGGAAGCCAAGACCTACATCATGCTTTTTCAACAAAATGTGATATCCCAAGTTCCTAGGATTTTTGAATGTTCTGGTTTTTAGCTTATAATAAGGCTGGACTTATTTAAGGACTTTGTTTTCAACCCTTACAGAAATGTAAGTGCTTGAAAATAGATGGTATATTTGACCATATACACCATTTGTTTTCGTATACTCTGTTTATTAAAAAATTTTTAAAAACAGCCTGTTAAACTGAGTTTGAATGGTATTTCTTAGAGGTTTAGCAAATGTTAAGACTGCTGTTATACCGAGAAGTAACAATGGGCTGTTTGTACTTTCCATTCCCATACCGGGTTGGGCAAACTGTGGCCTGTGGGCCAAATCTCACCAACCGTTTTATAAAAAAATGTTTTATTGGAACACAGCCCTCCCCCACCCATTCATTTATGTCTGTGTGTTCATGCAAGTGCTTCGCCGCTGTTGCTGCGAATAGAGGCATTGCATGTGGCCTGCAAGCCTGCAAGATCTGTTCTCTGGCCCTTTCCAGGAAAGTTTTGCTGACCCCTTCCCTTTAATAATGACATTATGCATTTACATAAAGATAAGGGGCCTCCCCCTGCTTCCTTTTCCCCTGATTCCATGCCTTCCCTCTGTTTATCTCTTGCTTTTCCTGTGTCTATTTTTTGCCATGTATACGGCGGGGTGTTTCTGGCACTGAGTATGGCAGTCACTCCTCAGAAAATGGTATTTTTTTTTTTTCCATCTTCTCTGTTTTCTTCATTTATTGCTCCATCACCACTGGCCATAATCTAGAGCTAGCATGCTTCTTTTAGTTATTAGGGTTCAGTGTGCTAGAGATTTAAAACATATACAGAGGTGTTAAAGATTTAAAATATATATTAAGAATGTTTTGTATTTCTTTCTCAAAAACAAAGAACCTGATTGTTAAAATTAGCATGATAGTCTCAGAATCCTATTGTTGATCACCCCATCTGCCTCAGAAGAGGGGGAAATAAATGCCCAGGGGTGTGAGGCCTGTGAATGGCACCCTTTATTACCACCAGCCCCATGGCTACCTCGGAAGTTGGGAGGGACCCTGAGCTAGAGCCAGCCTGGAACTTACCCTCTTCCCCGTCTGAATTCACACAGACCCAAGCCAAGTTTTGGATGGGACCGCCCCGGAGATAGAAGCAGCCAGCCCCCAGAGCGTACCCTGTAAGCGGAAGGGGCTGCAGGGTGAGAGTAGACGTGCTTAAGTCAGCTGGTAAAGCTAGGCCTAGGTGTGGTGATGTTTGTCCAGGAGACCCAGAAACACTTGGTTCTGTTTGTGGTCAGCCCTATTACTCCCTGTCAGCATCCCCGCTGGAACCTACCAGGGAGAGTGGCCGCCGGCACAGAGCAAGTCTGCTAGGTAGCCTGTAGCTCAGCACCATCAAAGTTCCATACCAGATCCTTGTTTTAGCTCAGACCATTGCCGACATTATAGCCACCCGGTACATTGGGACGGGGAGAGGGAATGGATGGACTGGGGAGTTCACTTAGCCAGTACCACACGCCAAGTGCTCGAAGCGTTTTGTTTCTCTGTTTTGTGTTGAAATTGGGAAGAACTTGCTCAGGCTAGAAGGGTGTGCCATCTAGTGGCGTGTGTGTAAGAACAGGAAGCAGGAGCAGGTAAGGAGCAGGGGACGAGTTCCCCTGGGCCGTATTTCCGAGTGCCCAGAGCACCCGTATATATGATCTGTGGGTTGTCCTCTTCATTTTATTTTTTTATTAGCATGTCTACATTCTTAGTTATTTTTAATTATTTATTTGCATATTTTACATCATTGTTCATTGTCCTTTTTAATTGAGAAAGTTTGTGACGGCGATCTACAAACTGAACATAGCCTTGTGGGGTTTTTTTAGGTTATTAAAGTAAAATGTTCTCACATCATCTCTTTAGTTCCCGTTGAATTTGTCTCTGATGCCCCTCATGTTTCTGTTGTGACTCTGTTGTCAGCATGTTTAAGCAGCATAAGCTTATGATAATGTTAGTGTCTCCCAAGTCGGCATATATGTCCCTAAAGCCAATATATTTTCAAATTGTTTGTATCTCTCCTCTTTTTTCCCCCCAAAGATTTATTTATTTATACAAGAACTGGGGTACAGGCCAGATGCACGGGAGGGTGAGAGGATTCACCAGAGACAGAGTGGGGAACAGAACAGGCAGACTGAAATACACTGCTGAGGGGAGCAGTGGGTGTGATAGGAGAGGTCTGCCACGCCATGTGGGACCCTCGCCGGCGGGCTGGCCGGGATTGAACCAGCGCTGCAGAGGCTGCAGACAGCTTCACAGCGCTGCTCTCAACCAGCTGTGCCACCAGGGAGGCCCTGTATCTCTTCTCTTTTGATAAAAACTTTACTTTCACTCAGCATGTATTTACTGATTACTGATCACGTAGTAGGCATTCAGTGTATTGCATGAAACATAGGCTTGTAGTATAAGAGGAGGCAATGGACATGTAAATATATATTTGTACAAGGTCACAGTTTATGGCTTTTATGATAGAAACCTGTATAGCATTGAGGAGAGGATGCAAAGGAAGGAGTGGTTGATAATAGCAGAGAGATTAATTGTAGGCAGGCTTCACGGAGGAGTGATACTTGAGTTCTTTTCTGGTAGAGAGAAAATATCTCCACCAGGTGGCTAGAAGTGGGCTGTTCCAGGCAGAAGAAACAACTTAGACAAAAGCTCAGAAGTGGAATCAGGAGAACGTATAAACTGAAGTAGTAACACCAGTTCAGGATCCATTGCCATAGTTCGTGCTTAGTAGTTATTGATTAAAGGAACCCGGTGTGAGGTGTGTGAGGGTGAGGTGTTCTAGATTACTCTCTGGTTTCTGGCTTGGGCTTTTGGGTGATGGTTGGTGCTATTCCCCAAGGTAGCAATATTGGAAGAAGAGTAGGTTTTGGAAGAGCTGTATAGTTGTGACTGTGCAGAGTTTGAGGTGGTCACGGGCAGGTGTCAATAACATTCTGTAGGCGGTTGGATGTAAATAAAGAAATGAAGCGGACCTTTGGGCTGGAGAGGGAGATAATAGAATTCTGAGCACATAGGTGGTAGTAGATGAGATTAGGGAGGTAGAGGTCACTCAGAAGGAGCCAAGGCTAAAAATCGTTGACACAACACCAGTATGTTGGAGATAGACAGAGGTCAGAGAGGTATAAGACTGTAGTGAGGTAAAAGCTAAAGGAGAAGAAAGTTTAAAGAGGTGATTCAGTGGCACATGAAGCTAGGGAAGATGAGGACTGAAGAATCTGCTGGAATTGGAATTTAGGAGGTCCTTATTACCCTTTGTCAGAGTCAGTTGAAGTGACCTATAAAGGTGGGGAGGGCGGAAACAGAAGCTAGTTGATTGCAATAGGTGGAAAAGAATAGAAGACAAAGAAGTATGAGAGATCATAGTCTAGTCTTTCGTGGCTCTTGCCTGTGAAAGAGAAGAGATTTGACTGTAATACAAATTGTAAGCCAAGTACTAAGAGAATGGGGAGTGGGGTCACATGAGCGAGTTGGAATGGCTGCTGCCCCTTGAACCTAGCTCTTAACTGCTTGCCTTTCACACAGTCAGGACTGGTATACACAGAGGATGAGTGGCAGAAGGAGTGGAATGAGCTGATCAAGCTTGCCTCAAGTGAGCCCCGAATGCATCTAGGTACCAATGGAACCAACTGTGGTGGGTAAGTATGACTAAGTGGGGGAGCAGGAAATAATCTCTGCTGAGTCCTCAGTGTCTGAAGAGCTCTGTGCTAAGAGGATGTAAGAAGGAACGAGAACACCTATGGCAAGGGCATAGAAGGGTGCAGCAGCATGGAATGTTCTAGACGCTACAGGTAGTTGATTATTGCTGGAATGTAGGGTATGTGGTACGGATGAGGCAATTCCAATTTTTGTGTGCCGTGCTGGTTTCTCTTGCACCATACTAAGGAATTCAAATTGTGTCCTATCTTGACTTTAGGAAACTATAGGCCAAATGACCTGGTTTCCTTAATAAATAAATCACAAGGAAAATAAAAAGAGTTTAAAGACACTTGAGACATATCAACCGATTGGAATGCATAGGCATTTATAAGATAGGGCAATGTGAACAATCTTACATGCTTGATTATTTTTAAATATTAAAAGTGTGACAGTATTGTGGTTTTCAAACAAGGGGCTTTATTTTTTAGAGATAGAAACGGAAATATTTATGTATGAAGCGATGTGATAGCTAGTAGTCACACAAAATAAGCTAGCAGGGTAGCAGTGGGGCTGATAAGAAAACAGACTGAGGTCTAGTGTGAGGTGAGGCTGACCATGTGTTTAAAATTTTTAAGATGTATTTTTATTTATTTATGCATACAAGAACAGCAGGGGTGTAGGCTAGAGGTGCAGGATGGGAAGGGTGAGAGGACTCAGCAGAGACAGAGTGGGAGCAGAACAGGCAGATCTGCTGAAACACTGCTTAGGGGAGCAATGGGTGAGACAGGAGATCGAACCCAGGCCATCTAGGTGATAACACCAAGACTGAATCCCTAGCACTGGGGAGGCCCTTGTGTTTTTAATTGTTGAAGCTGGCTGATAGATACGTGAGAGTTTGAGTTTTGAATATGTTTAAAATCTTGAAAAAGTTAACAGTGATAGTCTATCCAGATTTCATTGTGCATTAGAATAATCCAGGAAAATTGTTTAAAATGCAGATTTCTGAATCTCCATCATAGGGATGTCCAGTTGAGTTGTTTGAGGTAAAGCCCAGGAGCTTGTGGGTGTGTTCTCATGGAGTGACACAGCAGACGGGGCGATGGCGGGATAGGAGTGAGACTAGAACACAGCTGCAGCAGTCAGGGAAGGGAGGGCCGTGGGTGTGGGTAAGGGGCCAGACTGCAGGCAGGCCAGAGGAGACAGATGAGTGAGCCCCATGAGGCAGACAAGGGGACACCTTGGTCAGGCCAGGAGACCAGCTGAAGGTGAGCGATAAAGAGCAATAAATATGTCTTGGGTTTCTGATAGGCTCCTGGGTAGATGATGAGGCTGTTCTCCACGTTAGAGAACATGGGGCTGAGGAGTTGTTCCCTTTTTTTCCTGTCGGACCTCATGAGGGTTAAGTGTAGGTGGTTGTGGCAAAGAAAGTAAGCAGGGTGAGGCTGCCGGGCTGCATATTGAGCAACTGGATGACGAGAACTGGGGGAGGTTGTGAACAGGCGGTCTCTGAGGAGGGGTTTCCCTCACGTTCCTAACTCTGTTTTAACCTTCGAGCCTTCCAGTCTCCTCTTGATTCCCCCATGTGTGCCATAGGAAAAAAGACGTAGTAGCACAAATAAATCGGCTGTGTCTGTGGCAGCCTTCCAGTTGGAAAACCAGGAAAGGATGTTCCTCTTTTCCCCTCTGAGGAACTGGTCTTAAGGGCTCTCTTGTTTTGTTTTCTTCCCTGTCCCTCCCACACTGTCCCTCTCTGCAACTTCAGGGCGGAGAGTTCAGAAGAGCCTGTCTACGAGAGCCTGGAGGAGTTCCACGTCTTTGTCCTGGCCCACGTGCTCAGGAGGCCCATTGTCGTGGTGGCAGACACCATGCTGAGGGACTCTGGCGGGGAAGGTGAGTCAGTCCTCACTTCACCCTGAGCACCCCTGTTTGCAGAGCCTTGGGCTAAGCACTGGGAGGCAGGCAGGAAAAGAACCTGCAGGCCCTTGGGAATAAAACAAGATATTCACCAGAACAATGTGAAATTCTGAGATCCAGGGTAAAGTAGTTGGGGTTAATTGAGGAGGCTTCCTACGGGGAGAATTGCCAAAAAGGAGTAGGAATGAAAGGGGGACTCAGTTGGTAGAGTGGGGTGGAGAGGTTGGCCCGCCAGGCGAGAACCTGGCCTCAATAACAACATCTGTGGTTTCCTGCAGCGTTCGCCCCTATTCCCTTTGGGGGCATCTATCTGCCCTTGGAAGTCCCAGTGAGCCAGTGTCTCCACTCCCCTCTGGTGCTTGCCTACGACCAGGCCCACTTTTCTGCACTCGTGTCCATGGAGCAGAAAGAGAACGCCAAGGAGCAAGGTGCTGAGCGCGGTGTCTGTCTCTGCTGTATTTTTCACTTGCAAAGTTGAAATGAGAGAACACAGGAAGGAAAGAACTAAGTGACGCGCAAGCCCAGAGAGTACATGTAACACAGTCTTACTAAGAGTTGTAAGGTATACCAGGGTTTAAAAAAAAGGTTTTAGGGAAAAACACAGTGGCCTGTGTTTTCCTAGAGTTAAGAGGCTTATGTATTAAGGTCATAGACCCTTCCAAATAATCATTTGCTGTATCTGTCTTAGTAATGACTGAATTCTCGAATCTAGTGAACTGGCAGGAACATCTTGAATGTTAGCTGGCTGACTGGAGGGGAGGCGTGGGGACCAGTGGTGTAAACAGCATGCTGGGCAGTAAGAGCAAACCAGCCTGTTGGTTTTTAATGCCAGGGTCCCTCACACGTAAGAGCTGAGAAAGTGACTGCAGCTAGAGGCCTGTGGAATGATTAGCTGCTTTTGCGTGAAGTGAGCCTGTGTGCTGTGGCCTTCTCTCTCCTCAAGGCGTTTGCTTGATGGCATGTTCTTCCCTCTCCAGCTGTGATCCCACTTATGGACTCAGAGCATAAGCTGCTGCCCTTGCACTTCGCGGTGGACCCTGGGAAGGGCTGGGAGTGGGGCAAAGATGACGATGACAACGTCCGGTTGGCCAGGTGAGGCAGGCCGAGCTGTCTCTCTGCTTTGTAGCTGCCATCTTCGTTTCCAGGGGATCCCTCAGCTTAGTGGCAGGACCGTCACCTCCCAGCCACAGTGTCTTCGGGAAGATGAGTCGGGACCAGGACCCCGCTTGCCTCGTCTCCCTGTACAGAGACGGGGGTCCTGGGGCCTCAGATGCTCTTCTCGTGCAACAAGAAGCGTGTGCTCGCACAGATGCAGCTTCGATCCCACTGGGTTTTTGCATTTCTGGAATTTAAATATAAAAAGACATTCTCCCCTGCTCTCCAGAAACTGGGTTCTTCTTCTTCCACAGCTCCATGGAGGGTGAATGTGTAGGGATGCAAAAGCTTCACCCCTGTGTCTTACTTGACTCTTCTTTGGATTATGAAACTGGGAGGGTTTGATTTTAAAATTCAGAATCGATGACTTTTTAATTTAACGATCAAAAGCACCTTCTAACTAATGTGTACAGTAACAGTGATGGCCCGGCTTGGTGTTTCCCGTTTTCCAGACAAGGTGGGACCCTTTCCAGCCATGATTTTAATCTTTGTCATCACCGTGCAAGACACGTTGGGGAAGTGACTTGCTCAAGGTCACAAGCTTAGTCCTTGCTGGAGCTGTAATCTAGCCCCAACTCTGTCTGAGGCCCAGGCTGTGTTGCTGCTGCCCACCTACTCCCTTGTGGATCGCACGGCTTTGCTCTGTCAAGGTCACATACCTTTTCAGTGCTTTGTTTCTCCTTTTCACAGTGTTATTCTGTCCCTGGAGGTCAAATTGCATCTGCTGCATGGCTACATGGATGTCAAGTGGATCCCAGTGTCCTCTGATGCCCAGGTGAGGGCTCCCGCGCACCTTGTCCGTCCTCTGTCAGTGACAACAGGGAGACCTGCTAGCAGTCTCCTGGGTCCCTTTGGAGTGGGAGCTTATGAGTCAAGTTAGGAATGACTGGAAACTCTCAGAAGAGCTCCACAAGACACTTTGTCCTACCTCTTATCCTGTTCGTGCCCTCCATCTTCCACGTCTCCTCTCCACCAGCGCCTGCTTTCTGGTACTAAAACACATTCTTCAGGGAAAGCTCCCCGGACTTTTGGCAAAGTGGAGACCGCCACTGCCTTGTCCCAAGCCGTCTTGCCCATAGACCTCTGCGCTGGGCACAGGGCGGGAGAATCACTTCAGGAGTTCTGGAGAACATTGTCATCATGCCTAGACCAGGAGCAGAGGAGAAGGGGCAAACTCGGAGACTCCATTGCCCAGCGTAAAAGTTAAGGAGGTGCAGAACGGGCAGACATAGTTGGTCGAGCTTAGTCACAACTTCCTTGAGATTAATTTTGGGCAGAATTCGGCAGAGAGAAATTTGTAATAGAGGCCTCTGTGGTGTCTGGAGATGATTCCTCCTCGGCGCAAGGTCGTCGTCTTATGATTTCTCGTTGCTCACGAGAGCGGTCAGGCTTCATGTTGATAGCTCTGCTATAGAAGAGCATTAGATTGTAGGGGGTGAATTAAGAGTCCCCATTCCCTGGCCGTGGGGGAGCTGCCTGGAGCGGGGACGCGCCCTCCTGAGGGACCCTTTCCCCGTCGAGGCAGCAGCTGTTCTCTGGAACAGGGCGTTCCCTCCAAAGATGGAGTGTGTCGGGGGATTCCTACCTGCTGCCACGCGGCTGGCTCCTTAGCAGTAGCTGCAGGGAGCCCTGAGGGCCAGGTGCATATCCTGGAGACCCCAGGGGCTTCCCTCCACCCAAGATGAGGGGCATAACTGTCAACCCTGTTCTCGTCTCTTCCAGGCCCCCCTGGCCCAGCCCGAGTCCCCTACAGCTTCAGCTGGGGATGAACCTCGCTCCACTCCTGAGTCTGGGGAGTCAGACAAGGAGTCTGTTGGCAGCAGTTCCACCAGCAATGAGAGCAGCAAGCGGAAAGAAAAGTCAAAGCGAGAGCGGGAGAAGGACAAAAAGAGAGCAGACTCTGTGGCTAACAAACTGGGGAGCTTTGGCAAAACCTTGGGCAGCAAGCTCAAGAAGAACATGGGCGGCCTGATGCACAGCAAGGGGTCTAAGCCCGGAGGGATGGGCGCGGGGTCGGGGGTGAGCAGTGGCACTGAGACACTGGAGAAGAAGAAGAAAAACGCCCTGAAGAGCTGGAAGGGTGGCAAGGAGGAGGCAGCCGGGGACGGGCCCGTGTCTGAGAAGCCCGCGGCGGAGTCTGTTGGCAATGGAGGGAGCAAGTACAGCCAGGAGGTGATGCAGAGCCTGAGCATCATGCGGATCGCCATGCAGGGGGAGGGGCGCTTCATCTTCGTGGGCGCCCTGAGGATGGGGCTCCGCCAGCAGTACCAGGAGGACATGATCCAGCGCTACCTCTCGGATGCGGAGGAGCGGTTCCTGGCAGAGCAGAAGCAGAAGGAGGCGGAGAGGAAGGTCCTGAATGGAGGGATGGGGGGTGGGCCTCCTCCAGCCAAGAAGCCAGAGCCAGATGGTGGAGAGGAGCTGCCCCCCCCAGCAGAGTCCAAGGCGGTGGCGTTCTCTGCTGGCTACCCTGGGGGCTTTACGATCCCAAGGCCTTCTGGGGGTGGGGTCCACTGCCAAGAGCCCCGGAGGCAGTTGGCAGGGGGCCCGTGTGTGGGGGGCCTACCACCATATGCCACCTTCCCCAGACAGTGTCCTCCTGGGCGACCCTACCCCCATCAGGACCACAGCCCTTCCCTGGAGCCAGGCAGTCACTCCAAGGATGGGGTTCCCAGGGGTGCATTGTTACCGCCCCCCTTCCGCGTGGCTGATTCCTATAGCAACGGCTACAGAGAGCCCCCTGAGCCAGATGGATGGGCCGGGGGTCCCCGGGGGCTTCCCCCAACCCAGACCAAATGCAAACAACCGAACTGCAGTTTCTATGGACACCCTGAGACGAACAACTTCTGCTCCTGCTGCTACAGGGAAGAACTGAGAAGGCGGGAACGGGAGCCAAGTGGGGAGCTCCTGGTGCACAGGTTCTGAATGGGGGGACCTTGGAGGGCAAGGGGGTGAAACAAAGAAAGTTAAGCTCAACTAATTGGCTCATCAGCCCCAGCCCCGATTTGGGGGCAAGTGCTGTAATGTTTGTGGAAGCCTGACTACAGGCCTGAGGTGTGCGTGCGCAGGCGGCCGGGTGGCAGAGCAGGTCAGGGCTGGATGGCGCCTGGGGACTGTTCTAGTCCTTCTCAGATCTTGGCTTGATGGGAACGAGGAGGTTCCAGTGGGGAATAACAGTGATGCTGCTTCATAACCCCTTGGGTCCCTCCGTCCCACGGCCTGCGGGGAAGTTGTAGGGGAAGGAAGGCTTGGGGTCTAGGGGTGGGGAGGTGGGCAGAAGTCTGGGCCTGGTTCTCAATAAAAAACAGACCAAAGTTTTTAGGTTGGAAAAAAGCACACAGTGGCAGAGTTGGGGGTGTAGAGGGAGACTGGGAAATTAGACATTGGCAGTTGATCTGAATTAAGATTGAAATTGGTTGGGTAGATTCTTCCTCCTGAAGGATCTGGAAAGACAGGGCGGTAAAGTATGCTCGTGGGTGCTCACGAGGACGGGAGCTGAAATTGGTTTATTGAAAAAATCCTTGATGAATAAAAAAACAGACTGGGTGAGGGAAGTAACGCTGAAGGGAGGAACTTAAGAGGGGGAATCCTTTCCTCTCGAGATTGATTTCCTCTGCGCAGCCGTCTGTCCCCTGTTCTGATCGCAGTGGAGCTCGCTGGCTGCCCCTGTGTCTTCCTTGTCCTTTTTGAGGACTGGACTTCACTAAGTTACGATTATTTTTAAGACTTTAACTTTATTTAAAAAGAACGTTCCCCCTGGGGAGGGGCAGAGTGATGAAGCAGGTGAGCTGATGTGAGGGTGGCCCCTTGTTTCCCCCCCCCTTTTTTTTTAAAGATTTATTCATGCATACAAGAACCGGGGTACAGGCCAGATGTGCGGGAGGGTGCGAGGATCCACCAGACATAGAGTGGGGAACAGAACAGGCAGACTGACTGAAATACACGTTGAGGGGAGCAGCGGGCGAGACAGGAGCGGTCACGCCGCGCCTGGATCGGGATCGAACCCGTGCTGCAGAGGCTGCGACAGCTTCACAGCACTGCGCTCAACTGCCTGCGCCACCAGGGGGGCCCCTTTTTTTCTTTTAATGACTTAGCAATAACCACACCTTGAGGTTTGTGTGTCTTGGGAGGGGTAGCAGAAGGACAGACCTTTGGCCAGACTGTTTGAAACCAAACCAAAAACCTAAGTAGAACACCACCATCCTCTGCTGCTGCGTTTCTGTAGAAAGCAACTTATTTTTTGACTATTTTTTTAAGTAAAGGAAACAATGAAAATACCCCAGCAAGCAAAAACGTTTCGAAAAGTGATTTTTTTGGTCTATTTAAGTGATTTCTTCCTCCTTCCTCTCTACGTAGAGAATGAACTTTACATCCCGGCTTCTTTTGTTAAGCCATAGCTGACCTTAATCTGTGGTTAGTTTATTAAAATAATGAAAATTCTTTGTAAGAAGAGCTATTTTTGATAATAGGAATGATGTTGAAACATGGGTAGGGATTGGGGCAATTTATAAAAAGGTAGCTAGAGAAATATATTTTAGTGAACTGTAACCACAGATCACAGATTAGTCCCAATCAGCTGATCTGTCTTCGGGATCCCCCTTACCCCAACCCAACCGTTTTCTCCAGGGGTGGGAGGGGGCCTGTGGACACAGTTGGGGGAGCTCCCCTGCGTTTTGCACAAAGCACAAGTCTGGACCGCCTGCGCCCTGGCCAGCGCCCTTTCTAAGAGCTTTAAACCAGAGGACCTTTCCTGGGCCAATTTTTGTTTTTACTTTTCTTTTTCTGGGGAAAAAAAATCAACTATGCAATTGTATACACTCCTAGGTGCATATGAAGAGGAGGAATAAGTGTACTTAAGTGTCTGGAGTGTTAACTGGGGCTGTTTTTCTGTATTTGGATTTCTCTTGAGGTATGTACCCACAACCCACCCCGTGGAATGTATTCCCCGCGTCGGGTCTGAAGCAGGTACGGGGCTGGGTGTGATTGCGGGGAGACTCGTGTTTGCCATAACTGCTGCTGCCGGGTCACGGAGGTCATCCCATTTCACCCTGGGTAACAGAGCCGGCGGCCAAGACTGTCCTCTTCATTGGAACTGCTCAGTTTAGAAAGATTCCTTTCTGGACAAACTTGAAAGTCACTCACTTTCCGAATATGATAGTCCGTTGATTGAATCATTTCCCATGACTGTTAGGCTTTTATTTGAAAATAGGCTGGTTCCAAACGGGGAGATGTGTGTGTTTCTGGGCAGGGCTGGGACTCCTGTGAGACAAGCACTCCCCTCAGGTACTGAAGTCGAGGGGGTGCTGAAAAACTCCGTAATCAAGATAAAGGCTGTTTTGATGGAATATTCTAAAAATGCAAAAAATCCTTGAATAAAAAACAGACTGGGTGAGGGAGGTAACGCTGAATCAAGTATGGGGTCGAATCCTGAATGGAAATTTTTGATACTTTATTACGGAATTTAAAAAAGTTTAATTTTCAAAAAATGCTGCACTGAATACTATCATGGCTACTGGGTTTTTGGCACCCCTTAAATTTTGTGCCCAAAGAGTTGTCTTGCTTACCTCACGTTGGTTTTGGTGTTAGAATAACTCAATACAAGCAGCTGGTGAACGTCCTTCCCTAGAGAGTGTCCTGGTGCTGGTGGCACAGCTCCAGCCCCGTGGCTCCGCCGCCCTTACCCCCTTACCGAGAGGAGGGGAAACAGACCCGGGGTTTTCCCAGAGAGTAAACCCAGGAATGTTTTGATGCTCCACTGGACCGCTGTGCTTGGATTTGATCTGCTAGTAGATGCTAGTTAATACTTTTGTTTTTTAAAAACAGGACAAATGAACAAAGCCCGAAAGCTTGTCATGTTTGTTTTTGTTTTGATTTATAAATTAACTCATCCCAGCTCCTTTTGCCTTCTTTTAAAATAAAAACGCTGGAAATCCTGGGGGGCGTCCTCGGGGTGGGAAGTATGGTAAACCATGGCTTCATTCAGGCCCTGTGTTTAGGGGCCCCGCCATCCTGAGGACCAGGGACCAGAGTGGACGGGTGTGTTTCTATAAGGGAAGTGAAATTTTTCTGCTTGCTTTTGAGGGGGCAGGAGGTTGGGCGGGATGGGGCCCGGGTAAAGGGGCGGTTCCTGGAAAGGGAACGCAGACTTGGGTGTGCTGCCGGGGAAGGGGCGGGTGGGAGAGGCGGCCCGAGGCTGAGGCGGGAGGCAGGTACTGGGCGCTCCAAGGGCGGAGATGCCTTCGTTGAAGGTGTGGGGTGTGGGTGAGGGCGCGAGCTGGACCCCTTCACCCTAGTGAGGGGTGATAGCGTCTCAGGCTGAAACAAGTGCACTTAGTTCCTTCTATCCAGGGCATGGGGGCACCTACTTGTTTTTATTGAGGGGAAATATTCAGGGTTGTGTCTGCCCCTCTAGGTGAGGCCGCCGCCCTCCCCCGCCCCCACCCCAGCCCCGCGGTCCCCTCGGCCGGTGCCGGGTTTATTGCGTTACAGGTTTAGCCGAACAGTCACAGCCTTTGCCTCAGTGGTTTCTGTCAAAAAAATAAACATTAAAACTTTAAAAAAAGATTCACTCTCTTCGTGGAGGGGGGTTGATGCTGGACTCGGTGCTCGCAGGGAAGCGCCCGCCCTTTCCTGCCGGGTCCCGGCGGGGGCGGGGCGGGGTGGGGTGGTGGGGGCCCCGGGGCCGCGCGAGGTCGCCGCCGCCTTCCCCGCGGCGGAGCCTCGGAGGTGATGGTCGCTGGGTCACCCCGAAGCCTTCGGACTGTCCTCAAGGGGTCAGCGCCCCCGCCGCAGGGGTGGGGCAGGGTCTGGGGCCCCTTCCAGGCCTGGGGTCACCGCCCCGGCCTTTGTGCCAACCTCCTCCTCCAGCTGCGGCGGGCGGGGCGCCCCTCCACGGCGCGTCGGCGCCCGGGCCCCGAACTCGGGCTGCGGCGCGGCCCTGGCCCTCCCGGCCCTGCGCGGGCGGCCGGAGCCGGCGGACAGACCCCCGGGCGGGGGCCGCGGCCGAGTCGCCGCCCCGCCCGCGGCGGCCCCGGCGGGACCGCGTCGGAGTCGGCACCGCCCTCCGGGGGAAGCGGGCCGGGCGCCGGGGCTCCCCCGCCGCGAGCCCTCGGAGCGGCGCCTGCGGGGCGCTCGGCCACGTGGCCTGAGGCTTCCGCCAGAGGCCGCCCGCGCCCCACTTCTGCTCCACCTGCCGCGGCGCGAGCGCGGGGCCGAGGGTGGCGGGGCCGCCCCGACGCGCGACCCCTAAACGCCGAGGCCGGAAGGGCGCGGGCGCCGAGCGGCTCCCGGGAAAGGCGGGGCCCCGACGGCTGCAGCCTCCGTCCACGCTGGGCCTCCGCGGAGCAGCTCCTCGACGCCCCCGGCGCGTTTCTCGACTCCCGGAGTCCGCGGCGCCGGCCCGCACCCTCGGCCGGGGCTGCCCCGCCGGCCCCCGGCCCCGCCCGCGCCCCGCTCGCCGCGGGAGGGGCGCGGGGCCGCCGGGCTTCCGGCCGGGCCGTGCTCGGCATGAATCATTCATCGGCGATCGGGTGTCCGCGGGGGGCGGCCCAGCCCCTGCAGCGGCTCTGGTTTCCGCGCGCACCTGCCCGTGAACACACCTGCACGCGTGCGCGCATCCTGGGGGTGCGGCCGTGCCCCCCCGCACCCCTGCGCGAGCTGGGGTTCACGCGCCCTGCGGGACACAGGCACGTTGACTCATCCTCCTCCCCCGTTCTTGGGCTTCCCGGCAAAACTCAGAGGCCCAGTTTCCCCTGGTTTCTCTTTCGAAGCCGCCCTGGCGAGGCCGCGCGGCGGCCGGCGCTGCCCCCCGGCCCCCCCCCCCCCCGCAAGAAGACTTCAAAAAACAGCCTCCCGGGAAGCCGGGCCGGGGTCACCGAGTGGCTTAAGCGCTGCAGTTTAATGCCCGCGTCTCGCGTCTCGGCCCCCCCCCCCCCCCCCGGCGCCAGCGCGTGTGACGGGGCGGGTCGGGGCGCTGGGAGTCCCGGGGTCCCCTCCTCAGGCGCTTCCCCGCTCTCGCCACTTCCCCTAAATTGCGCGGCTTCTCCTTTAAGGGGCTGGGCCTCCCCCGCCCTCTCCTGGGGCGGCTGAAGTTTCCGTGGAGCCTCCTCTCGCGAGCTGGACACACCTTTCAAGAGACCCCAAACTGTGCTTCGTGCACCTCAACCGCTCCTTCCCCCATGCCCTCCCCTCCCTCTCTGTGACCTCCCTCTCCTCGGCGACCGGATTCAGCCTCTGCCCGGAGGCCCGAGCATCCTTGGGGTTTCCTGCCCTCAGCTGCTCTGTCCCCGGATGGAGCCAGAGAAATGTGGTGGGGGGCCGGGGCCAGAGTTTCAACATCGCCCCCCAGAAGGAGGAGCCAGAGATGGGGGTAAGGAGTGGGAACTCGGGTTTGGTGGGGAGGGGCGCTGTGGGCAAGAGGGGGCGGATGGGGAAGATGTGGCTGTAGAAGAGGAGAAAAGGGTCTGGAGGAGGTGGAGGGTGTGTCCCAAATCCAGGGGTTGAGAGCCGGGCCAGTCCGTCTCAGTCTCAAGTTCGTTGCCTCATTATCCATTAACCAGCCCCTCCCTTCAACGGCTGCCAAGCGGCCTCGGAGCTGCCCACAGAGCTGATCTCAGTTTCCCTGAGAGGCTGAGCGCAGCCCCCACAGGCGGTTGGGCGCTAGGTCATCCCAGGCCCCGGGGCTGGAGTGACCTGGGGCTTAACCCTGTGCCCTTCTCAGCTCTCTGGACCAAAGTCTGCCCAGGGGAGTGGGATGCCAGAGCCCAGGAGTCGTCAGCCTGGCAATGCCCTGGCGTCTGGTCGCCTTCCAGGTAATGACACCTCTCCAATACTCTGATCGCCAGACGCCTCCAAACTTTATCCCATTCAGCTCTCCTTCTCCCTCCCCAAAGGCACCCGCGTCCTCTCCTGACTCAAAGTGCTGCCACCCATGTCTGGTCTCTGTCCAGGCTGGGGTCTTGGGGCCTGTTTTCTTGATCCTGTTACCCCGTTCTCATTTACTAACTCAAGAAGCATCTGCGTGCCTACTATGCGCCGGCACTTGCTGAGGCGCTAGAGGAAATAATACAGATTCTCTCCTCCTAAACATTCATTCCAGTGGCGCTGGGAGAGGATCTTGATCTTTCCTGTTTAGAACCTCCTGTCCCAGAGGGCTGAGCTAACCCGCAGGTGGATAACACAGTGGACTGCGTGGAAACAGACAGAACCTGCTTTCCTTCCTCCCGCAGGGGAGAAGATCTTAGCATGGGCCCCAGGGGTGAGGAAGGGGCTGGAACCTGAATTGCCTGGAACCCTGGTCTGCACCAACTTGAGGGTCACCTTCCAGCCCCGCGGATGGCAGCGGAGCCAGGTGAGCTGGTTCGGGTGATGGAAAGGACGCCTGGTGGGGAATGGTAGGGGCATCTAGAAGGATTTAGTTAGACAGACATTACAGGGAGTGAAACGGTTGCACCTGAGGGCTGTCTTTAGAATGTTCCAGGAATTGTCACCAGGGACTCCCTCTAGGGGGGTAGTGGCTGAGACTCCAGAAGCCTCTAGCATCAGTCATGTGCTTCCCCAGGACACCCCCCTGAGCAGTGAATATGATTTTGCCCTGGTCAACATCGCGCAATTAGAAGCTGGTAAGTGTGGGGGTTTGGTGAAGGTGTGGGAACCCCTCCTGGTCTTCCCCTTGTTCTCAGAGGACCCAGGGGACGGAGTGGGTCAGAGCCTGACCTGTGGCTACACTGCTTTCCTAACTCTTGACTTCAGTGAGTGGCCTGTCCCGCGTCCAGCTCCTCCGCCCAGGATCCCTGCTTAAATTTGTCCCCGAGGAGATTCTGATTCATGGCCGAGACTTCCGATTACTCAGAGTTGGGTTTGAGGCCGGAGGGCTGGGGCCTCAGGCCTTTCAGGTAAGAGAGCCCCAACCCAAGGGCCCTTCCTCCCCTTTGAACCTTGTGATCCTTTCCTTGGCAATTCCCACTGCTCTCCTACCCCCCTCCCCCCAGCCCTCTCTTCATTCTCTCTGCTGCTTTCCTCAAGGACAGGCCCAAGGCTGGGGAAGGTGATAGTTAATGAGACTAAGGGGCCTGAGTTTTAGCCCCGCTGCGCCCCTATCAGGAGCATGTCGGTGGGCCAGCTTCTCCTTTGAAAAACAGAGAGTTGGATGAGATTATTCCTAAGATGCTTCCCAGCGTTAAATTCCTGTGTTTCTAGATGTGTCCTCCTGCCCCCAGCCCCTACGACCTATGGAGGCTGTCTTTGCTGTTCTCTGTTGGTGACAAAGACAATGCAGTAACATGCGGGCCCCAGTTCCTCCCGCTTCTTCAGTCTGAGGGGTGTCCTTCCCTCCACAGGTGACCATGGCCATCGCGCAAGCCAGAGCTCAGAGCAGCCAAGGCCAGCAGTTCACAGGGGTAGCCCTGAGCAAGGCCGGTGAGTGAGGCCGTGTTAGGGCAAGGAAAGGGTGAGGCGTCCGAAGGAGGCCGGGTAAAGACAAAAGAACTAAGCAGAGCTGTGGTTCCTTCTCTGTGTCCACTGCTTCCCTAGGCCAGAGTTCTGGTTCTGGAAAACCACCTGTCCCCCTCTTGGAGACATCAGAAGACTGGGAGGCGGAGCGAAAAAAGCAGGGGGCCAGGGGCTGGAGGGTTTGCACCATCAATGAGAGGTTCGACGTAGCCACCAGGTAACCCCCGCCCACCTAGCCTCTGCTACCATCCCTGTCTCCCCACATGGTTCTCACCCTTTAAAAGGTTCCCTCAAACTCCAGCTTCCTTGGACGCCCAGAGGGCCATCCCCTTACCTCCTGGGCCTCTAGCCCTGCGATCCCCTGAATGGCCCCCTCCTAACAGCTTGTAACAGCAGGGCAAGGTCACCTGGCCAGGCTGTGAACCGACTCTCCTTTTCACAGCCTCTCTCGTTACTTCTGGGTGCCCAAGCGAACTCTGGACAGTGAGGTCAGGAGAGCGTTTGGCCACTTCCACCAGGGCCGTGGACCGGTCAGTGTGAGGGTCATGGGAGGTCAGGGGTCACTGTGAAGGGAGGGGACCCTGTGAGGTCAGCGTGGGGGCTGGATGGGATGAAGAGTTTCTCACGGTGACCCTCTCCTCACTGCCCCAGCGCCTGTCCTGGCATCACCCGGGAGGCAGTGATCTTCTCCGCTGTGGTGGCTTCTACACAGCCAGTGACCCTAACAAGGAGGACGTCAGGTGAGGGGAGGTGGCTGAGAAAAATCGAGGCGAAGAAGGTGGGGCAGACTCCTCCCCTGACTTCCCGCCTCCCTCCCTCCAGAGCAGTGGAGTCCATGCTCCAGGCCGGGCATTCAGATGTTGTCCTGGTAGAAACCATGGACGAGCTGCCCAGTCTCGCAGATGTCCATCTGGCCCACTTGAGGCTGAGGGCCCTCTGCCTGCCGGGTGAGAATAACTTAGCCCTCCCCACCCCCGCCCATCCAACCTGCTTTACTCTTGCCTGAGCAGGTGAGGGACCCTTAGGTGAGGCGTCTCCTGCAGACTGACTCCTTCCTGCCCCAGCGTGCTCTTTCTTCAGCAGCTTTGA